GCTGTAAGACAATAAGGATGCTTTTGATAGACAAATCCAAAATGTGAGTGAGCACTTTGCTGAATGAATGAATTCCTCATTCAGGCCAAATTGATGGACTCTTCCAAATTCCTAGGTGTGGGAAGAGAGTTCTGAAAAAATTTGGTGGAGTCCAGTGAGTTCTTTCCTTCCTCTAAAGTTCCCAGGTTATTTGGAGAATATAGCAATCCCACCATGGTTGTCAAAGTGGGGTCCCTGGACCACTAGCAAAACCTAAGAAGTGGTTATCCATTCAAATCACAAGGGCCCCGCTTCATGCCTACAGATTAGAAACCTGTGTTTTAACAAGCCTTCCAGGGGATTCCATTGCAAGCCGAAGCACGAGAACTGTTCACTAAAAGTGCAAAGAGTATACTTTACACACTTTTTTTTATTAACACATGTTGCTCCCACACGCAATTCGGTGGGAGTTGACACTGGCTCCCATCTCTACCGAGGCAAAAATGCTGTCAACTGTGCTGTCCTTTCTTTCAAGCTCGGCCTCTCCAACTGGGCGAGGCCTTGCTTTGCAGAGTGTTTGTGCACTGACTAAAGTTCTTTCGGTCTGTCTGACAACAGACTGAGGTTGCTGCCAGCTGCCGTGTTAGGGAGCAACGCCTTAAATAAAGGCCTTCAGCTATTTCATGTTCCTAAGCCAGTTCATTGTGTTCCAAGTGCTTTTGTTCAGGGAATTGGACCACGTATGATTTCACCAGGGCAGAGTCACAAGACACCTTTACCTGGGAATGGTGTAAGTGGAACAAGGCTGCTAGCAAATTTGCCTAACCTGCTTTGGAAGAAATATGTTCAGGGAACACAAAGCTGTCAACCTATCAGCCAGTAGCTTTGAGACAATCATTGACAAAACTATTGACTTTGCATATTTACTCCAAAAAATGAACAACTGAGCCATGTTTGGGCTAAAATGAGTGGTCTGCAGGGTTTGCAGAGAGGTAGGGCCCAGTTGAATTTTTGTAGTACCTGAAAGTATAGTCAGTATTTTCCTGCTACTATTGTTGAGTTGGTGTTTGGGGCTCCATGGTAGTTTTCTGATGGAAGATCCCAGAAGAGAATACACAGAGCCTCCCTATGTCTAGCCTCACACTGCCTGGGAACTCAGGAGAACTGGACACCCTCACACCCTTCCATTTTGGAATCCCCACCCAACCCAGACACTGAAGCCAACAGGAGAGACCAAGGCTTGAACATGCTCTGAAGTCATCTTTGGAAGTCATGAAGGTCTAACTCATGGCATAAGCCACATCACCTACCATCATCTGGTGACTTGGGAGGCTGTTAATTAAACAGGAGCTGATTGGTTTTGAGAATAGGCAACTCAATGAATTGAGTAAGTTGTTGAGTCATCTATCAAGTAGTTGCCTTGGGAGAAAATATTTTAGCACATTTTATATTGGAGAAATTATTGGAATCCTGGTAAAAAGATGAATTTCAGTAGACTCGAATTATAAAACATGACACAGATAGTTCAGGAAAGGGAGATCTGTGTTCCCAGGTAATAGTCACTATCTCTGTTGACTCAAGAATTCAGTTTTTAGAATGAACCTCAGCATACTGTTATGATTTGGATCTGAAATATCCCCCAAAGGCCATGAGCTAAAGGCTTGGTCACCAACCTGTGACACAATTGTTAGGTGGTGGAACCCTTAAGGGGGAGGTGGGTAGTGGTAGAAGGTAAGGTCACTGGAGGTGGACCCTTGATGGAGATCTTGGCATCTCCTTCCTTTCTCTTTTACTTCCTGGCCTCCTTGATGTCAGCATCTTTGTTCACTACATGCCATGACATTGTACCTTGACCACAAGCCCAAAATGACAAGACTAAGAAATCTTGGATTGAAACCTCTGGAACAATGAGCCAAGATAAATCTGTCCTCTTCTTAAGTTGTTGATTTTGTCGCAGTTACAGAGTGCTAACAATTACCAATGCATGTATTTACTCCTAAATGTATCCGGAGTTCTCCATCCATGCCAGCTCCACTTTCACCCAATCATGTCATGTTAGGATTCCCTTCTCATGTGAAACTTCTTTAATCCCATCTCTGGATGTGGACCCAGCCCAAGATGGCATAACTGAGGCTCTGGGGAACTGAGAATTGACAAAAGGTAGTGAGTCAAGGATAGGCTCTTGAACTGAAGAGTGTAGACTACAGTGCTGAAGATTTCAGCTTTGAGAAGGCAAGGAGAACATCTACAGAGAAAAGAGAGGGGGAGGAGGATGCTGGGATAAGAATGATGAGAAAGTCATCCCCATCACCTTGCACTGCCAGCTTCCATTTCCTCACAAGACCCTACTACGCTACTGGGGTTCTTTCTTTTTCTTTTTCTTTTTTTTTTTTTTTTGAAGCAGTACTGGGGTTTGAACTCAGGGTCTCACACTTGTTAGGCAGGTGCTCTACCACCTGAGCCACTCCACCAGCCCTTTTTTGTGCTGGGTATTTTTCGAGATTGGGTCTCCAGAACTATTTACCCAGGCTGGCTTTGACCGGCAATTCTCCTTATCTCTGCCTCCTGAGTAACTAGGATTACAGATGTGAGCCACCAGTGCCCAGCTATTTCTGGGGTTCTTGAAAAAAACACCATACCATTATAATAATTTGACATTTTTTTCCCTCAGAAGTCAAATTAGTTTTAATATTATTATATCCTTGGCAACCTATTTTTCCTGTGTAGGTGAAGAGGTAGATCCCAGAGTTTACATGCTGCATAACTTCAAATGGATGAAAAGGCTAGGAAGCAACTGAATTATCCCATCTGGATTGGGTCAAGCTGGGTAATAGAATTCTTGTTAGGTACTCATGTTATTTACTTCCTCAGGGGCCCGTGCTTTGTCTACACTCTCATTTAATCATTGTGACCTTGTGTTGACTGTTCTGAGCCATTGTTTAACTTGCTCGGGAACCAAAGTTGGGAAATGACAGAGCCACCACTGGACCTTCACACCTTCCTGCTGTGCTGTGAAAGGTGAAAGAAGGATTCCAACCTGGACAGTCTTGGGCAATATACCTGCTGTGGCAGGCATAGTTCAAGGTGCTGGTTCATAAAAGCTATCAGAGATGCCTGTCAGGGCAACAAAGAGAGGGCTGTGAGGGAGTGAGCAGCCATTGAGAGGAGGGTCAGGTGAGCTCCAATCAGACTCTGCGTTATTAAGTCTCACAGTGATTCATCTCATGTTAGCAATTAGCTCTGGTACTCCATGATTACGAGGAGAGTTGTGAGAATAACAAGACAATGTCAGAACATGGCATTTTTCTTTTCTTTGGTTTTTTGAATCAGTGGCTCACTACATCGACCAGGCTGGCCTGGAACTTGGGATCCTCCTATCTTAGCCTCTTGAATGCTGGAATTATAGGTGTGTACCACCATGCCCAGCTTAGACCAAGGCTGTTCTGCCAACTTGAAAGGCAAAGCCCATTCCTCAAGACACAAAGACTAGGCCTGCTTCCTTATACCTGGCCTGAGTCCAGTGAGGTATATGGCACATTCTGAAGATACTGCTGGAGTAATGTGCCCGTCTGATGGGCAAATAGCCGGCTCTAACCTGCAGCTAACTTAGGATGTAGCTCTTGCTTCTTATCAAGATGCTGTCAGCCTTCAAAACCCAGAGCCTTTCCTTCCTGTCCCAGGATGTCACTACCTGCCAGGTGCCTCTAAGGAGGGGCCCAGCCTTCCTTCTGAAAGCCAGCTTAGTTTATGAGAAGAACTCTGAAGTGCATTTGGGATTCAGGTTGGAGGATGATAGGCACATGACGGTGGATGGTGGATGGTTCCGATCATTTGGATATGCAAATAAAGATGAGTTTCACATTTTTTAAGGTCCTGTCATTGCAAACCTCCTGCACTCACTTCTACTTCTCACACTCATGACTTAGTGTCTGGGGATCAAAGTAGACGGAGCTTTTGTAGTTCTTCACCCCAGCACTCAGAGCACGTGTCATAGCCAAGGTTCCCTAAACACAGAGGAATTGGACCAAGTGTGAGGAGAGTAAGGAAACTCAGTGGAGATGGAGCCCCCATATCCGTCTTCTCTGGTCTTGTTTCTAGAGATCTGCCATCAGACCCAGTGAGAGAGATTTAAAGCATTTACATTTTCCATGATGTTATCTGAGTTCATGGGATGTTTTTTTTTCTTTTTGACTCTTCTATGTGAAGTATACCTTCGCTTTTGGCCAGGTTTTTTGTTTTGTTTTGTTTCTCCTCTAGGTTTTTTTTTTTCCTCCCCTAGTTTTGAATGTAGTTGGATGGTTCAATATCTGTGTTCTTTTCTCAGGCAAAATTAGATGCTTGGTACTTTGCACAGTTGTTAGAGATTGTTAGAAAATGAATCTCTAGCAGGAATACATCCTAACAGTCATAAACAGGAACATTATAGGATGTGCAAAAATCCTCACATTAATGACAATGTCGAATTACACACCCTGGACCCCAGAATGAGTCTCTTTTGAATAGATGTCAGCTGCTACCTCCCTCACCAGTGGCTCAAAACCAGGAGGGCTTTGAATGTAGGTGGAGGCTGAGGTACCCAGGAACTGGCAAGTGCCAGAGACAGCTTTGACTGCAGTGCCCAGGCAGGCACTGACATATCCCTTGGCTAGGGAGGCGTCTTGCATGCTGGAGACGCACAGAAAATGGTAAAGCGACACTCAGGAGGCTGCCGAGAAAGCCTTCCCCTCCGGCTTCTCTAGCCTATCTGTTGGATTCTCCTTTGCTTGGAAAGTTCACTGGCTGCTTTTTATTTTGCCCTTCCGGGGAGGGAAAGCCCCAAGTTGGGGGCGATTCACTTAGCTCTGTCTGGGGCTGAGCTGCTCTGTGTGCAGTAGGAAAGACAGACTGTGGAGGGAGTCTCACGGAGGGTGACAGAGCAGCAGAAGCGTGTGACTTCCTGCTGGAGAGTCTTCTTCCCAGGGAGGGGAGATGGGCACACGCTGTGTGTAATGGGCAAGTGTTCTGTGTGCTCTGTCCCCCAGGTGCACCAGTACTACAGCTGCCTCCCAGAAGAGAAAGTCCCCTATGTCAACAGTCCTGGAGAAAAACTGCGAATCAAGCAACTCCTACACCAGCTGCCACCACATGACAATGAGGTAAGGGACTGGAGGGGGCTTCTGGAAACTATTCTCAGAACCGTCTATGAATTGCTCCCATTTTCCATATTCAGATGGCTCCCTTCTTATCATGACCAGCAAGATTGCTGAAGAAAACCTCTGGTGATTTATTTTAGATTTTAGCTTTCCTAATTAGAGCCAAAAAAGACTGACCAGTACACAGTGGAGTGTGTTGCCAAAAAGTTAGTGTCTCATTCTGAACTGGATTAGCCTGTGAACCTGGCATGACTAGCTATTTGTGGTAACCAGGGAACACTAAAAGTTGAAAGCTCAGGTCCCCATCTTCTGACTTGAAGAGGAATGTGTTCTGCTGCTTGCCTACATATGCTGGAGGATTGGGGTTCCAGGACCATTTCAAGCTGTGCAAAAATGTTGTGAGTCTGTTGAATTGTCAGCATCATTTAATATTAAATGACTGTGCAAGGTTTCCACGTTAGGCCTTAGGAGAAGTTATGTGCCCAGATTTGCAGATCTCCACATCTGTGATTTTTGTCACGGTGAAGTTTGGTTTGTTTAGGGTCATCATCTATACTTTTGAAAGTATGGCTTATGGACTGTTCTTTTTTCTGAACCCAGAAACACAGCCCTGAAGGCAGGCATTTCTTATCCTGGAGATCCATTGATCAGAAAAAGGAATTTATAAACCTGCTTTTAAAAAATTGTGCCAGAAGGGATTAGGTTTTTAAGCTGGAAATCAATTTTCAGGTATAAGAATCCTATGAAATTGAACTATTTAATTCTGACTGCATTTAAAGCAAAACTGTAATTTATATTTATTTTTTGTGGAACTGAGGTTTGAACTCAGGGCTTCATGCTTGCCAGGCATGTGCTCTACCACTTGAGCCACTCTGCCAGCCTGAGTGAATGCTTTTAAGTTCTGTCTTCCAACTTTCTAATAAAAGTGGAGCCTCAAAAATAAATCTGAGAGATAGGGAGTACAGCTCAGTGGTAGATCACTGTCTACCTGCATAAGGCCCTGAGTGCCATCCCAGCACTGCAAAAATACAAATAAATGAATTTAAGTAAGTAGGGCCATACCCTAAAAAACTGAATCAACTCCCTAGAAAGCCAGCTATGATTCTCCTTCTTGCTGTTTATTTCAGACTTCATAAAACAAATATAAATAATGCTTTCTCCTTTAAAGCTGACCGAGCAAGCATTGTAACCTGATGCCCAGTTAACTAACATGAAAGTGAAAGTGCATGCGGGTTTTTACAAGCAGGAGGGGTGTGTCTTTCTTCAAAAGCAGGCCCATAAAATGTCAGTGGTGCAAGCTTGTGTTCTGGGCTGTTTGGGTCACTGCACTTTTCTTTCTGGGACATTCCCGGGGAGACTTTTTTTTTTTTAACTCCATTTACTTGAGGGAGAGAAGTGTGATTTACTCCTCTATGTTATTAGCAGTTTATTCTGTCTATAGATAAGCGAGCTTTCATGAAAAGAGACAGCATTCAGATTACTACTTCCTGTTAGTAGGAATGCGGTATGTGGACCCAGTGGGCTGAATTAGCCCATTTGACATGGCTCCTTTTGAAGACAAAAGGTGATGTTTAGGGTATATTGGATCGTTCTCTTTTCATTCAGATAAGATAAAAACACAGTTGCCCTGGTTTCCAAATTAGAATACTAGGTTTTCCTATAATCATCTTTGTGACAGAGCCTCTGAGCTGTACAGTTAACTTTTCGGGTTAGTCCTGAGCAAGAAGAGGTGGCTTCAAGACTGTTCTCCAGGGGGAGTTATAAATATGGCTTGGAGAAGGATGTGATCGTAGCAGTAAATAAAATTGAACCTGTAATGAGAGCTACTTTAAGATTACATTTCATTCTTGTGATGAAGAGGTTGAATAATATGGAGATTTCCGTCTGGTCCTAGCTGGTGTTTTACACCTCTCTAACTCATTCTAGTCTCCAACTTAAGGAGAATCAGGGACCTCAGGTTTAGGATCTCCTGTAGACAAAAAGGCCACCTGGACTCTACTGATGTAGCTCTGATCTCTAGTTTCAGGGTCACCTTCTGGGTTTTGCAGGTGATTGATTTTTCTTTTTATAGTCATAATATTTTCTTAATAAATGCATTCTCTTCTAAACCAGCGTTAATAAACAGTAGTGCAGAACTATGACACAGTTGCCAAGGTGTAGAGAAATAAGAGGGAAGAATGGCAAAGACTGGGATTGAATGCCTTTAGTGTCTCTCCCTCAATTCTGTGACATTCTCTGTTTAACAAATCCCAGCAGCCTGTCCTTTCCCTCTTGCACCCACATGAACCCACAGGGCCTCCCTGCAGCATCACAGATGCCTATGGGCCAGCTCCATGGGCTCAAGCCTCCTGGTTCCCACTTCCCCAAAGTAAGGAGGAGGACAGAAGTCATGAGCATGTTGACAAGTGTCCTGGCTCACTGGCCTGGAACCATTGGTGTCAAAACTCAGGTACATGAGCACATGCAGATGAGGGTGCAGTACAGTTCCAGAGCAGTTAGCCTGCCTTCAGTGAGCTCTGCTGGTTGTCACCATTCTCAGGTGAGTCTCACCTTCACTAGCTCCGAGCCTGGGCTTGGTGAATTTCAGCAAGGACTGTAAAACCAAGTGGCAGTGTGTTCAATGAGAAAACGCAGGCATGGACTTCAACTGTCCTAGAGTGACGGTGATCTCCTCCCAGCCATCCTCTGTGTGTGTTCAGGTGCGCTACTGCAATTCCCTGGACGAGGAAGAGAAGAGGGAGCTGAAGCTGTTCAGCAACCAGAGGAAACGAGAGAACTTGGGCCGTGGGAACGTCAGGCCCTTCCCTGTCACCATGACGGGAGCGATTTGCGAACAGGTGAGTTTGGATTCATTGTCCACTCATTCATTCACTTGACATTTATTTTATTAAGTACTTGCTGTGCACCCAGCACCTTCCTAGTCCCTGAAGATACAACAGGGAATGCAGGACATGAATGCTTAGTCTTTCCCTCTACAGGAAGAAATCAGCCAATAAATTTAATCAATAAAATAGAAAGAAACACTGGGAAGGGGACTGGCAAAGGCTGGGAGGGTACGGCATTGGGAGCAAAGACGTACAAGAGGGACTTGGTCATCCAGGTATTGCAGCAGCAGGAACAGCCAGCTTAGAGGCCCCAGGGGAAGGAGGGTGATTCTTGTGGCCAAGGGACAATGAATTGGCCAGCATGGCTGGGCAGAGGTTGTGAAGGACAAGGATGGGCAGATAAAGTCAGAGTTCTTGGAGAGCCACGCAAGCCACTAGGACTGAGCAGAGGAATTGACATGATGCATTCATATTTTGCAATGAATCCTTTGATTAGAGACTTTGCCTTGGCCATGGGACAGCCTCTCATCCAAGGTCATTCCAAGGCCATTGCCCCTTAAAGTGGCACCAGGTGGTCTTCTCCTAAGTTTGGGAGTTCTTTAATGCCCCCTGCATTTGGTCTTGATTTGATTTTTCTCCTACTCTCCTGCACAGTGGTCAGGGCATGTGTCCCAAAGAAGCAGCGTTGCAATCCAACCTGCATAGGGTCACCCTGCCCCCCATCTTGCTGCCAAATACTTTCTGGTGCACATCAGGCTTTTAGGCCCCTAGGTCCTGCTGCTTTTTGTACAACTCCACGTAACCCCTTAAGTTCTAAGTGGACTGATGTAGGTGCCAAGATCAGCAAAGAGAAGGCCAAAGACTGACTAAGAGGAGCAGGTGCCTTTGGGAGACCGTCTTTGAAATTTGAGAGGGCTAGAACCACAATGTTTAGATAGATGGGATGGAGAAGCTACTTGGCCAGAGAGGTAGCAGTGGGGTCATCATCCTTGAAAAATGTCCTTGAGCTACATACTTAAGATACAAGGGGTCAGTGCTCATGATATGAGACTTATTTTGGTTAATTCAGGGCCTCCACCACTCTCAGATCCGGCTCCTAGGGAGCAATGCTCACCTAAGGGGGAAGGAAGATTGCACATTTCATGGGAAGATGCTGAAAGTCGTATACAATAATGAGTGGAGGCAGAGAGACCTTTCGTAATTTGATTGTTTCTGCCAAATGGCCTTGACCATGATATTTTTCTTTGGCTTTGTCATCTGTCCAGTGGGGTTAACAAACCTTATAGAATCTTGGTGAGAATTGGATAACATCACGTGTGTGCACACTTTGGCTCTACTAATGTAATCATGGAAGAGAGGGGTGGCACCTTCTGTAACATGATGTCTTTACACGGATGGGTGCCCAGAGACTCTTCCACAAGGCCTTTACCTCACTCTGTGATTCATTTCAGTTCCTACCATGTCCAAAGCATGAGAAGGGTTTGGAAGATAGCTTCTTTGCTCTTTAGATATTGTCCTTGGAGCTCAACCACCTGTGTGGGTCATAGTACCCAACTCAGGCTGTGAACGTCATTGTTGATGCCAAGGTGAACAGAGAGCATCTCCCTGGACCCACTGCTTCACACTTTTCTCCTCCCTCCAAGACATAGTGTATCCCAACCCCAGCTGTGAGCATGGGGCATTGAAATTCTTCCTTATCCCCTTTTGGGAAGGAACTTTGGAAAAGCAAAAAGAGACAGTAGGGAAGGAACACTCAGAAACCTTAGAAGAAGTTAAAAGCGTGCCTGAAGGCACACAGAGAAGAAAGAAGGTAATTCAGGACAGGCAGGTTTTATGTGCCCACACCCCCACCCTTCCACCAGTAGTGCAGCCCTGCCATGTTATCACGGGCCACCATGAGCTCTTCCCTCTCGGTCTCTTCTATGCACTTCCATTGGAGTTCTTTCTCTACCACCTTTGTGAGTCCCAATGTCTCAGTTACTTTATCTTCATCTTATGTAGGCCATAAGAAATGGGGTGGGGGGGGCAAGGAAAACCTGCCCTGCCAGGTATGTAAAGCAGATAGCACAGTGACTAGTGTGAAAATAAGTGCTCGGTGACCAGCTGTTGGCCCTGGTTGTTTGTCATTTATGCATAATACTGAGGGAACAGGGCTGGTGTTGGTACTAAAGTCTGTTTTCCTCACAGTGTGGAGGCCAGATTAACGGTGGGGATATCGCCGTGTTTGCATCTCGGGCTGGCCATGGCGTTTGCTGGCACCCACCCTGCTTCATATGCACTGTCTGCAATGAGCTGCTGGTGGATTTGATCTACTTTTACCAAGACGGCAAGATCTACTGCGGCAGGCACCATGCCGAGTGCCTGAAGCCACGCTGTGCAGCCTGTGATGAGGTCAGAGTCCCCTTCCTGAGCCCACAACCCTGCCTGTCACCCCTCAGTTGCACCATCGCCTTACTCATGCACTTTGTTCTGTGGTTTCCCACAGAATGCAGCCATGGCGGCTCCACCCTCTTAAGTTAACCCCTTCCAGGGAGAGGCCTCACCCTTGTCCCTAATCCAGGTGGCTAGAACATCTGAGAGTGTGGCTCAGTTTACTGAACTCAGCAGGTTCATTCGATCCTGGGAGGAAGGCAGCCACTACAGCCGCAGAGATTCCCAAATGGCAGACAGCTGTCACAGTGTCACTTCAGAACTCTTAAAAATGAAGTGAAACAAAATAAAGTAACATAAAAAGGCATTGTGCAGCTGTAGATTGCTGCCCAGTTCCTTGGGAGTAGTCATCAGGTATCCAGTGCCACTTGTACAAGGTTTGATGGGACAGGTTGGTGAGAAAAGAGAAAAAAGTGGGTGACATTATCCTGTTTCCGCGTTGTTTACGAAAGTTCGGGACACTGGTGAATACTCTAATCAGGTATCTCTCCCCTTGCTCTAGGATGTATTTGAATATATTGTGCCAGGAAAGAGAGCAGATTAGAACACAAAGCCCCTGTCTGGCATTCTCCCCCCACCAGAAGCAAATCCAAGAAAGACCTATAAGCTACAGAATAGAAAACCTGGTTTAGCTTTAAAAGTTGGGAACAGAAAGAAGAGTGTTCTAAACTTGACCACTTGTAGGGAGCTCATTTTGGGAAAGGTCTTAGACATAGGTTTCCTCCTACATTGAGGAGTTTTTTGAGTCCATCAGAGTCCACTCGGCATTTCTCTCTCACAGACCACACATGAGAGATTCACTCCTCTAGGAGGAAGTTGATCAGACTTCACTAAGTCAGATTGCTAGAGAGACTCTCTAGCCAGATAGCTGCAAAACCAGATTCATGTCCAGCTCCACGACTCCAGGCAGCCACCTTGCCTTCATGCCTCGACTTCCACATCTGGACGTCAATGTCATACATAGCACAACTTTGTGTCCTCCAATGTCAAATAGAATATGATGCCTGAAATGAACACTTTGACATTTTTATTTATTGAGATAGAATGTGTACAGCAGTAAGGCTTATCCTTTTCAGGTATATGATTCAGTGGTTTTTATTATATTCTCAAAGTTTCAAGACCACCACTGCTGTCTGATTCCAGACCATTTTCCTCAAGCAAAAAGAAAATCTATGTCCAGTAGTCATTCTTCTCCTCCTTCTCTCAGCCCCTGATGACCCCTGCTGTGTGGACATAAGTGTTCTAATATTTCATATTAATGAACTCATAAAATATGTGACTTTTTTTCTTCTGACTTCTTTCACTTAGCATGATGTTTTAAAAGGTAATCCATATTTTAATATGTATAAATACTTCATTCCTTTTCATGGCTGGCTGGCTGTCATCTCTCTGTCTATCTGTCTATATACATATGTCACATTTTGTTTGACCAGTTAGCAATTGATGGACATTTAAGTTGTTTCTACTTTTTAGCTCTTAGGAACAATGCACTCATGTACAAGTTTTTGTGTACACTTATATTTTTAATGCTCTTGAGTGTATCTATAAGAGTAGAATTCTGAGTTTTACATTTGAGAGAAAGCCAAACTATTTTCTAAAACAGTTCTCTCATTTTGCATTCCTACTGTCAGTAAATGAAGATTCTAAATCTCTTCACATTCACATTAATACTTGTAATTATCTTTGTTTTTTATTATTGCCATCCCAGTGAGTATAAAATAATAGACACTGAGACTTTTCTTCACATTTTCCTAACCACTAGTAATGCTGAGCATCTTTTTTGTTGTTGTTTTGAGACAGGGTCTCACTATGTAGCTCAGGCTGGCCTCCTTGCAGTCTTCCTGCCTCAGCTTCCCAAGTGATGGGATTATAGACATGCACCACCATGCCCTGCTTGAGCATCTTTTTATGTGTTTATTGTCTGTTTACTTATTGTCCTTTTTTTGGAGAAATATCTGTTGAAGTCCCTTGCTCAATTAGATTATTTTATTCCTGACATATAAAAATTGCTTATATAGTCTGGCTATTCGTCCCTTATCAGATACATGATCTGCAAATATGTTCTCCCATTCTATGGTTTTATTTTCACTTTCTTTTTGCTGTCCTTTAAAGCATAAAAGTTTTTAACTTAGATAGAGTTTGCTTGGTCTATTTTTCCTTTTGTTACTTGTATTTTTATTGTCATATCTAAAAAAACCATTGCCTAGTGGATTTACACCTATATTCTAAGAGTTTTATCTGTTTTTTTTTTATTCTGTTAGGCCTTTGATCCCTTTTCAGTTAATTTATATATATATATATACATATATGATGTGAGGTAGGATTCAAATTGATTCTTTTACATGAGTCTTCCAGTTGTCCCAGCCCCATTTGCTAAAGACTACTCCGTCCCCATAGAATGGTCTTGGCACCCTTTTTTGATAATTAATTGCCCATTATGTATGGGTTTATTCCTGGACTCTCAATTCTGTTCATCTATATGTCAATCCTTTGCCAGTACCATGCTGTACTGATTATTAAAGCTTGGTAGTAAGTTTGGAAATCTGTTCATTGAGATTTAAAACAACTCCCTATTGGGAGTCAAAACATGAATGCTTCTGAGGGCCATGTCTTGTAAGTGAAGGTGACACCAGGGAATGTTAAAGAATATGACCAGCTGGACAACTGACCACTTATGTGAAAGCAGCAGTTCACATACTGGGTACTGAGCATTACCCAATATTTTTCTTCAAAATGAGAAACTAGAATTCCAAGATGTTAACATGACATTTGCCATCTTAGAAAATTCTGTGTGCAGGCTAAAGGAAACATATCTGTATGTTCAGTGTGCACATGAGCTGTCTGTTTTTCACCTTACTTTATATTCTTCAGGGGAGAACATTCTTTCTCTTATTTAAATGTGGCCAAGTTAATCACTGGCCAGGCAGGTACCACATTTAATTGTGCTTCAAGCAAATGTGGGAGCGATGTAGCTGTAGGATGAACATACAATATAGGTTTTTGTTTAATATTCATGGGCAAGACCTGCTTTCTTACCCCTCTAGTTTGGAACCCCCTATGAAGTATGTTCTTATGACTGACTGGGTGTCAGACACTGACCATTTGGTTTCCCCATCTCCAGATCATCTTCGCTGATGAATGCACAGAAGCTGAGGGACGGCACTGGCACATGAAACACTTCTGTTGCTTTGAGTGTGAGACAGTGCTTGGTGGCCAACGCTACATCATGAAGGAGGGAAGGCCCTACTGTTGCCATTGCTTTGAGTCCTTGTATGCGGAATATTGTGACACCTGTGCCCAACACATAGGTGAGGCAGTGCTTGGCACTCAGCTTGATTTTCTCTGACTGGATCTTCTTTGTATCTGGTGAAGTTAAAATACCTTTGGTTGCAAGTAATAGAAACCCAACTCATACTAGCTTAAATGAAAAAGGGAATTTCTCAGCTCCTGTTACTAGAAGGGTCAAGGAGTATGTTAGCTTCAGGTAAGGATGCATCAAGAGTTTCAGCAAACTCTACTGTTGTCTCTGTGTCTTAGCTCTGCTTGCCCTTCTGTTGGCATCATTTGCAAGTAAGGTATCTTTACATGGTGGTCAAGAGGACCCTTAGTTATCCATAGTCTTGATACTTGCAATGTCACAAGGACAAGGACCATCTCTCCTCCAATTTCCAAGACAATCCCTCCAGATACAAAGCTTATAAGTCCTGAGTTAGTCATGGGCCCACCTCTAAGATGGGACTATGTGTTACACATTCCCATTTCCATGGGACAGGGTGTGGTCTCAGAAAGAATTATGAGGGCAAAGCTAAACAGATGCCTTCCACATCCTCATTGGAAGAAAAGAAATCAGAGATCAGAGAAGGAGGAGCCAGGTGAAGCTCTTGGTAGAGTGGGATAGTCAAGGAAACCCAGCAGCTTCTGGCAAGTGAGATTTTAAAACATCAGCAAAAGCCAGAACAAGAGACATAGCTCATAAACTGTGAGCTCCCCAAATAAGTAGTGGAGCTGAGATGGCAAAAATCATTTTCCCTTTGCAACTAACCAATTTGTTCAACGCTTCAATGCTTCAGGACAGGCTGCACTGTGACTGCTTTTCTCATCTGTCTTTTTTTGGCACATTAGGAATGAGCCACCCTTTAAAAAAAAAGCTGGCATGGACAAATGTGAGACCAGAGCCTAAACTGTCACCTGTAGTGAGGGGGTGTGGAGATACCCAGTTGGGAGCCTGTTTTGTCCCACTTAAAAGATTTTATCAGCCCCAAAAGGAAATGGCTTTATCTCCCTGGCTCATCAGAAGTGATGGATTCAAATGAAAACTTGGCTCATATTTCAAGAGTTTTGTGTACTGATAAAAGTCCCAACTGTGTGGACAGGGCACCTGTGTGCTCAGTGGTGACCCCTCATTGGTGGTCTTGTACTACTGCAGACATAGCCTGCTTCCCGGAGAGCTATCTGCAGTGAGTTTGTCAGCCCAGACTTCAGCACTGCTGTGAAGACCCTTGTACAGCTGCTTTTCCTTCTGGTCTTGGGCGATAGCAAGTCTCCCTTCCCTCACAGCCCAATACCTCTGTCCCCATGCCCAGGAACCTTGCTTTCTCACCAGATCAAAACAGTCAGACATGTACTGTGTGTAACAGGTGGCTGGCCATGTGAATCACTGTATCAGGGACAATAGCTTGCTATATTGACTCCAGGGTGTTCACATGTGGGTTCAAGTGCACAGGTCAGCATTTGCCTGGATGAGAGGAACTGAGTGTTAGAAACCTAACCCACAGAGGAGATGCCCGCTTCTGTTAGCATTTCTGTCTCCCCTCCCTTGTCATGGAGACAAAAATCCTCTCCAGAAGATGCCATTTAGAATTTTCTCCCAACAGACTTGGGAGAGAGAAAAATCTGGTTGCCACTGGATCATGTACCCCTCTGATGCTCCCTCTGTTTTCTTTCTTCTTCCAGCTATCCAGGACTTTTATTGACATTCTCCTTTCCCTTCCTCTTAAAGACATAAAAGGCACCCATGTTTTACCAGTAAAGGGACCACTGTGGCCTGCAGTATGCATGCTGCCAGAGTTAAATTACTGTTTCTGATGTTTCTTTTTAAGCACGCTTTTCTGCAAAACATAATTTTTCTGCCACAGCGAGAGTCTGCCGTGTGTATCAGGCATACCTCAGTCTCTGGGTGCTGTACCTCTGTCCATACTGTACAAATATTCTGTGTTTACCCAGCCGCTCAGAGCAGACCCTACATCAGGCAGTCGTTGCTAGGGCAACAGGACTCTTGCCTGTGTGCAGCAGAGTAAACAGTCCTATAAACAGAGCAAGCTGTGGCAGCAGTAGACACAGGCACCCTCAGAGAAATGCTTAAAGGGGAAAGGAAAAAGGAACACTCAGATGTTGAATGCAGAGCCCTTTTCCAGATGTTTCGAGTTCAGGAGCAGTTCAGAGGACCATCTGACATCGTTGATGTTTATCAGGGACCACGTTCCATTGCCTGCTGGGCCACTTTATAACATGTCTCCCCCCACTCCCCCCGCCCAAGCCTTCCTTCTGTGAGGCCCTGTCCCAGGAGCCAGGCCCTTCCGTGCCTCTGAGCATGCTTCTTTGCAGACCAGCTGCTGAGGACTCTGCCTCTAGCAGGGAGTGGGCGAGGCTGAGGTTACCTGGATAATGCCCTGAGTAGCTACCCCCAGTCAGGGAGCCAGCACAGCAGGGATCCCAGTGTGAGCTCTCAGGACTCTTGTCACGTGGGACAGAAAGGCTAAAAAGAGGAGAGAGAAGGCTGTGCAGCCTCAGAGTTCACCCTCAGGCAGCATCTAGGCTGTGACCCTCCACAAAGAAGGAGATTTCCCCCTAATAAAAACTAAAGAACAGCTTTTCTGGACAGCCTGCAGGCCCAAGGCAGGGCACTCTGCATACTCACTCAGTTAATTCTCACAACCCTATGACACAAGGACTGTTGTCTTCTGCATTGCGCTGCACTGTGGAGGAGAACAAGGCACAGAGAGATGAAGCCACTTCCCTTGGGTCACACAGCAAGAAAGTGGCAAAGCTAAGACCTGAAGCATCTTCACAGCCCACTGGAAGGGGAGGGAAGTGGGATTAGTTCCCTCTTCACTAGTGCAGAATTGAGCATCCCTGTGCCACCTGCCACTTCCTCCCAGGGACCTCAGGAAGAGGAATCCATGGAGCCCCAGCTGTGGGTTGTCTGGTTCTCACTGCCACCTGCTCCTCCTCACTGCACCTGGGAACTCCAGCAGTCATTGGGATTGATTCACGTAGTGGCCCCTCACGTGGGATGGCCCTGTGACTGCTCCCATCCTACAAAATTCTCTCTTGGTCTCTAGGGCCACACTCCAAGATGAAGAGACCCCCTCAGTTTAGGGAAAGAGCTAATAAGAATTTGCCTCCTGACTCTCCGTCTTTTGGCTCCAGTGTCACAAAAGTCAGCAGAGGAAAGGTTGGGGGAGGGGAGGAGGCTGCTTTCCTCTTTTTTTTTTTTTAATCTTTCATTCTTTTTTGTTGTTGTGGTTTCTCCCCTCAGTTTCTTATTTACCACCTCCCTACACAGTCTCTAGAAGACATCCCTTGAAAGCCCTGGGACTCTACGCCACCATGCTCACATCACTGATGCCTTCCTGAGGGGACATTATACAGTTATGTATTAGAAGTGTCCCAGAGGTCTCATTCCACCTGCAGAAATTCAGATGGGACTGCATTCTCCCAGGCTGTCCCAGGCAGGGATTACAACAGCTCAGCCTCCATTCTTCCATTTTATTGCCTGCTACAAAAAGAGGGCCTCCTGTGTCCCTGTCTTAGCAAAAGCCCCAGGTGGCCCTCTCATTGGCTTAGTGTGGGTCACTGTTGCCCCTAGACTATCTCTGGGACTGGGAGATACCGGTGCTGGGTCCTGGACTAAGAGATACCAAATATTTTTAACTGGCCACTGGTGGGTTCAGGGGTGGCTTTAGCCCCATCCCAAGTTCACGGCCCGAAAAGACAAGGAGATGCTGTCCCACAAGGAGATTAAGTACTACACCAGGAAAGGGAAGAGAAGCTGAGAAGAAGCAAGATCACAGAGGCTGAGGAAGGGTCCCTAGTACACAGGGTAATGAGATTGTGTACACTAGGCAGAGTCCTGCCCCGGAAGAGTCCTGCTTCTTCTTCTCCTGGTGACATTAGCAAAGGGTGTGTGTCCCCATGGGGAGTCAGCATCTTTGGCAAACATGTCCAAAGTTTTCCTTCCCAAGAGCAGGATCTTCCCTACCAAGAGTTGAAGTCTACTGTTTTTCTTTTCTGCTTACTTAGTCTATTCAGAATACCACAGACCGGGTAGCTTCTAAACAATACAAATGTGTCCCTCACAGTTCTGGAGGCAGGGCAGGCCATGGTCAAGGCAAATTTGGTTTCTGGAAACAATCCACTTTCTGGTTCATAGATTGACCTTTTCACTGTGTCTTCATATGGCAGAAGAGATAAGTGAGCTTCCTTGGGTTTCTTTTATGAGGACACTAATCCCATTCATGAGAGCAGAATCCTCAGACCTAATTACCTCTCCAAAGGCCCTACCTCCTTACACTACCACATTGAGTAGATTATAGCCTATGAATTTAGGGGAGAAACACACATTCAGACTCCAGTGTCCACCAGGCTGCTGCAGTGTCTTACCCATTGAAATGACACATACTGGTGATGAGGTTCAAATAATCCTTTCATTTCAGTGTAGGAAGAACCCCTGTTGTGTACCAGGCCATGTTCTAGGTCCTGGGGATACCACAGAAACAGAAACGTCTGAGCCTGTTCCCACAAAGCATCACTTTTAGTGAGAGAGAAAACAATAAAGAGATGCACACATATGATAGAGAGCCATCAGCAATATTAATGCTATATTTTTTTAAAAGTATAGGTCTGCACACAGTAATGCATGCCTGTAACTCCAGCTATTCTGGAGGTGGAGATAGAAGGATCACAGTCCAAGGCTAGTCAGGGCAAAGCTAGCAATGAAACCTTATCTGAAAAACAAACTGAAAGGAAATGGGCTGAGTTGGCTCAACTGGTACAGTGATTACTTAGCAAGCATGAAGCCCTGAGTTCAAGCCCCAGTACCCCATCACCACCCAAAAAAGTATAACAGACAAGGGTGGAGAGCAATGAGAGCCAACTCCAAGGAGTTGGCATTTGAGCAGTGTGTTAGTGAGTTTTTTGATAAAATACCTGACATGAATAACTTAAAGGAGAAAAGGTTTATTTTTGGCTCACATTTTTTAGACGTTTCAGTCCACAGCCACTGGCTCCATTGTTTCTGGGCCTGTGGTAAGGCAGGACATCATGGTGGAAGGGCACAATGGGGTAGATATGCTCACCTCATGACAGCCAGGAAGCAGAAAGAGAAAGAGGAAGAGGCCAGGGCAAGATACACCCTTTAGAAACCACAGAACCTCCTCTGGACAGACCACCCACCAGGCAACAATGACTTGGTTATCCTGACAGTGATAAAGACTGATAATGACCCACCAGAACATACCTGTGACCAGGACTGTTTAACTATGCACACCTTTTGCCCCCTGCTCTAATTCTTTTTGTCTTAAACCTAAATCTCATGAGTATACCCCAGAAGATGGGCTGAAGCCACATAACAAATTTCCTTTCTCTGCCCTTCCAAAAAAAAAGAAAAACTAAATAAATATATACCATTCAAAGACAAGTGACCTATTTCCTTCAACCAGGCCCCATCTTCCACAGTTCCACCACCTCCCCGTAATTTATTCAAATTTTGACTCTGTTAATGGATTAATCCAGAATCCTCATGATTCAATCACTTCCCAAAGCTCTATCTCTGAACACTACTTGCATCAGGACTAAGCCTTCAGTACATGAGCCTTTGGGGTGGAACACTTCATATCCATACCATAATAAGCAGACACGAAGTAGAGTGAAGGAGGCGGGATTAGTCTGCTGCTTAGGGACAGGACTTGGGTACAGAGTTTCTCTCTCATTCCTAGGTATATTACCTTAGGCAAGTTACTTAGCCTTCTCTATTTCCATTTACACAGCTGAAAAACAGAAATAATAATAGAAACTTACCTCAAACAGTGGAGTGATTTAATTTAGTTTGTGTATATAAATACTTAAAGCAGTGTCTTATCATATTACTGGTATTACAAGTTGAATATCCCTTATCTGAAATGTTGGTATTTGGGATTTTATTCAAATTTTGGAACATTTGCATATGCATAATGAGATACTCTGGAGATGGGATGCAAGTCTAACTGAGAATTCATTTATATTTCCCATAAACTCTATGCATGTAGCCTGAAGATAATTTTATATAGTATCTTAAGTTTCTGCATGAAGCAAAGTTTCGTTACATGGAATTTTCTCTGTGTGATGTTATGTTTTGAATTTTGGAGCATTTTGATTTTGGATTTTGGCTTAGGGATGGTCAAGCTATGTTACTATTTGGATGGAAAATGTGTCCTAGGCAGAATTCCTGGACAGGCCGTTTTGATATACATGCTTGGTGATGGAAGCAGGTTAGAAGGAGCTGACTGTTGAAGTAAGTTGTCGTAGGACTGGAATACGATTTATGAAGCCCTGATCATCGGTTGATTGGTACATTATTCATTGCATCCTGAGGCAAACCAGGGTGCTGTGTTTCATGTGTAATGAGGTGCTCTAGATGGCCCTTCAGCCTCTTATCTGTCTTGTTTCTCCAGGGATCGACCAGGGTCAAATGACCTATGATGGCCAGCACTGGCATGCCACCGAGACCTGTTTCTGCTGTGCTCACTGCAAGAAGTCCCTCCTGGGGCGGCCATTCCTCCCAAAGCAGGGCCAGATATTCTGCTCCCGGGCCTGCAGTGCTGGGGAGGACCCCAATGGCTCCGACTCATCTGATTCAGCCTTCCAGAATGCCAGGGCCAAGGAGTCTCGGCGCAGTGCCAAAATTGGCAAGAACAAAGGCAAGACAGAGGAGGCCATGATGAACCAGCACAGCCAGCTGCAGGTGAGTTCCAACCGGCTCTCAGCTGATGTGGACCCCCTGTCACTGCAAATGGACCTGCTCAGCCTGTCCAGCCAGACACCCAGCCTCAACCGGGACCCTATCTGGAGGAGCCGAGAGGAGCCCTACCATTATGGGAACAAGATGGAGCAGAACCAATCCCAGAGTCCTTTGCAGCTTCTCAGTCAGTGCAACATCAGAACTTCCTACAGTCCAGGAGGGCAGGGAGCTGGAGCCCAGCCTGACATGTGGGCCAAGCATTTCAGCAACCCCAAGAGAAACTCGTCACTGGCCATGAAGGGGCATGGTGGCAGCTTCATCAAGGAGGACTACTACCCAGGGAGGCTGCGGTCCCAGGAGAGCTACAGCGATATGTCCAGTCAAAGCTTCAGTGAACCCCGAGGCAGCATCCCAGTCCCCAAGTACGAGGAAGAAGAGGAAGAGGAAGGGGGTCTGTCCACTCAGCAGTGTCGAACCCGTCATCCTATCAGTTCCCTGAAATACACAGAGGACATGACACCCACAGAGCAGACCCCTCGGGGCTCCATGGAATCACTGGCACTGTCAAATGCAACAGGTAGGTTCTGGTCATCTGGATCACGGATATCTAGGGGTCACCTCTGGGTGACCTGGTGCTGGTCCTCAGGATTTTAGCATGGTCCTGCCATATGCCTTCGTCCACCAGGCTGTGGAGTTTCAGATGGCTTCTGCCTTTGATGGGATTCCCTATAAGTAAAGCGTGAGTGCAAGGTCTGGATGCCTGTGACATGTGCACCATGTGCTCATGGGAGAAGGGGAAGCAGAGAAATGGAATAAGGCTGGGGGAGGAGCCATATGAGGGATGATGTGTGGACTGGAGTCTGGCTTCAGCCTATCCCATGGGGGAAGCTCTGGACGGTGGATTGCAACAGAGTCAGTTCCCTCTTGCGAGGTGTGGTACTCTCACAAAGTCAGTGACTTTGGGCTCCTGCAGAGCGATTGGGGTGAGTTTATGGCTATGGGTGTCAACAAAGCAGCTCATGTTGACCAAAGAGCATTCAGGAGAAGGGGCAGCTGTGAGATGATAGCAGTGTTCACAACACCTGGGGGCAGGTGTCCCAGCTTGATAAGGTGTAGGACATCAAAGTATCCAGGGTTGCTTCCTGAGCTGTTCTGAACCCTAGTATCTCACAAGGTCCCGATTGTAATGTGCAGATAAAGACAGAAGAAATCTGTAGACAACACAAAGAAGCTAGGCAAGCTGAGAAGGGCTGAAGTGGAGGTAAACAGTCACCACATGCCCTCTCCAACACGTTGGCAGCTGGTTTGTGAAGATTAACTGTCGCCTAAGATAGAACCCCCCCGCAATGTGGGGTCAGGGTTGACTCACCATTGCTGTGACATCCAAGTGGGCTTATCTAGATCAGAGTATGTAGACCAGCTAGGGTGTTATAGAACTCATATGGTGAGCCATTTGTGGTGTGCGTTGTAATATCAGTTGTGCTCACCAGAGCCATGTACCCATCCACAGTGCAATGAAAGTAAAAACAAACTAGTCTTTCACCCCCGATACCTCGGGAAGAGTGCTCTAAAATGCACTAAGTATATCTGCCCCTTTAAGGCTACCAGAGACACACATCTACCCTCACAGTAGACATCCCACAGTCAAAGGTGTCAGCCCCACCTGAAGGGGACAATCACTGTTCAGCTGCAGCCACCTGTTGCCACGTGCAAGCTCATTTTTTTTTTCAATGAACAGTTATGTAGCTCTTACTATGTGCCAAGCATTGTTCTGAGCACTTCACACATATTTGCTGGCTCAATTAAATTGTTGCAATAATTTAGTTTAAGAGCAAAGGAAGGCATATTATTATCATTCTTAATTTAGAGTTGAAGAAACTGAGAAACAGAAAGATGAGGAACTCGTCCAAAGTCACACAGCTTTTCAGAGTAGAACAGAATTTGAACCCATGCATGTGACTCCCCAGCCTGCTCTTTCTTAATCACATCAGGCTGCCAACCTAACATGAACCCCACCTTGCATGTTCTCCTAGTTTTTCCAGAGCACTTGAAAATGTGGACTTTTTCTTTTCGGGTACTGGGGCTTGAACTTAGGGCTTTTACCTTGAGCCACTCCACCAACCCTATTTTTATGTTAAGTATTTCGAGATTGGATCTTGTGAACTATTTGCCAGGCTGGCTTCACTGCAGTCCTCCTGATTTCTGCCTCCTGAATAACTAGGATTACAGACATGGGCCACCAGCACCTGGTGTGGATAGTTTTTAAAGATGTGAATCCATTTAAACACTCTACTAGACAAAAGTTGTTTCTGAGTCATAGACTGTCTATACAATGTGTTTTACCTTGCCTCCCCTGAAAGGATTTCACATCTGTGTTCCCATTTCTCCCTGAGGACAAAAGGCCAATATTCTTATCCCCATGTTTCAGATAAAGAAAAAACAAGACCTTAGTGACTAAGCACCTTCTCTGACGTCATAGAAGTGAGCAATTACTGCAGAGTGATGACTGCCTGGCTTCCTGCCCAGGCTGTGTTACTCTTGAAAGATTTATACACTATAATTATTTAAGAGGCCTGCAGATAAATATGTACTTCAGCCTCTGTAGCCGAATTTCTCAAAGCTAGACTGCCTGCATTAGAATCATCCAGGTACTTGATTAAAACATGTATGCTGGGTCTCCACCACCACCCCCAGCAGCAGAATTCCACCGAGGTGGGACCTGGAAATCTGCATTTTAACCAGCTCCCTGCTGCTGATGTGCACTGTTGTCAGAGAACAGATGTTCCTGGGTTTGTCTGTTGTGACTGTAATTGTCTCACTTTAATGTGCCTTATGAAGAAATCTAGGGGGCGAGGGATTTCAGGTTGGAGAATGTTGGAGAAGCCAAGTGAGAAAAGACACACAGTTTCTGCTTCTACAGAAGGGAGCATGGGATTTTTGTCCCCATGATTTTCTGTGGATTCTTGGGTAAAGTAACAAATGCCCCTGTGCCTCAGATTTTTGGAAAGCAACCTAAACCATGACTGATAAAACTGGAGAAAAACATTCCTGAAATCAGCACTGTCCAGTAGGGTAGCTATTTGTCACATGTGACTATCAAAATCAAATTTATTGAAAGTAAGTGAAATGACCATTTTAGGCCAAACATTGTGCTAACACCATCTCAAGTGCTCAACAGCAAATGGGCTGAAATTTAAGTTTCATTTCATTTTCTTTCATTGAAATTCCATTAGCCACATGTGACTAACAGCAGCCCCATTGGAGAGTGGGCTGCTAGCATGTGGACAGGACCACTCTCATCCTTAGTCTCGCGGGAATTCCCGCATGGGCCTTGGTTTTCCAGATTCTCGGTTCATGGTTAGGAACCTGACTTGGAGTCGCAGTCCCTCGGTTCAGATCTGCCCTTCATCATTTAGGAATTATTTAACCTTAAGTCACTTAAATTCTGTAAGACTCAGTTTCCTGGACATTGGAATTTGGTGCCTAATAATTCTTCCTTTGTGGGGATTTTATGAGAATTAAATGATAAGTGTATTAAATTTATTAATATAGCCTATGGCACGTATGACCTTCTGTAATGGTTACCTGGTACTCTTATTGTTAATTCTTTCTCCTCCCAAATACACTGCAGCATGAATTTAGCTACTCTCCTTTCCCCATGTCCACCAGCTGTGCAGGTCTGCACTTCTGGTTTAAAATACTCCTAGGGTCTCCCCCTGCTTTTTACCAAGCAGTGCAACAAAAACCTCAGAAATGGAGAATTAAAGAAATTCATTTTGTGCCGTTGCATTTCCATAGACCTGTCAGACATGACGGTGTGGGAAAAAGATGGTGGCTAATGTCTTAAATGCATCTTTACCATTCCTAAGTCCTTCCTCTAAAGCTAGGTTTCAGGATAATGGGCTACTTTTCCTTCTGAGCTCAGTAACCGATGCTATTGAGCAAGCCCGTAGTGTTCATTCTGGCAGGGAGCATGATGTTTTTGTGGTAGCATTTTTCCTTAGAACAGATCTGGAGAAACGGATATCTCCAGTGGCTTGCCAGCCTCTGATCCGGGCCCTGACACCTCCCAGTTCATTTAGAACTGGGAGTGCTCAGTCCCTTGTCCATGGAAAACACAATCCATGCCTTATGCTCACCCACAGAGACTCAGGCAGGCACAGTGAGCATGTGCACACCACAGTGTGGGAGCCCTGAGAAGTTCTTTAACTCCACTATTCCCAAACAGGAGTCTGAAACAGCTTACAGTCTGGGTGATCATGGCCTTAGAGATAGTAATGGCAGCATCAAAATCTGTTTGCATTGAGTGTTGATATGTACTTGATCCAATTCACTTCATCCACACCACAACTCTAGGAGGTAGATACAACTGTTATTCCCATTCTACAGATGAGGTGAGAGAGGCACAGTGGGGCTGGGTAGTCTCGGGCCACACCTCTTGAAAGTGGAAGAGCAGGATTCAAAACCAAGGCATTATAACTCCAAGTCTATGCCTGCAACTGCTAACCTGTGGCATTTAGGAGTGATGGTGATGAAGATGCTGGCTCTGGTGATGATAGTGATGATTATAACAGACCACTGACCATGGCCTGGCATGCTGATGCATTCTCATATAAAACCTCATTGCAACCCTCTGAGATAAGTCTGATGGTTATACCCATTTCACAGATACAACATTCAGAGAAGTTATAACTTTTACACCCGTGTCATGGTTGAGTGGAAGTGTTACAACTTTAAGTTGTAACATCCATGGTTGCCCCAGATGGCCAGCATTTGAACCCAGGCATGGCAGACTGCAAAGACCATGTTCCGAACTGCTCCATACACATCCTCACAAGAGGGGTCATGATTACAGACAGGGAATTTGCACAGTGACTATCTGAAGGAACAAGACTTCCCTTCCCTACTGACCCTGTCAATGAAGCAGGAAAGCACAGTGTGCAGTGAAAGGTGAAGGACAGGAGGCTGAGGCAGCCAACTGAGGTCATGTGCCAAGGTCAGCAGTCAGAAGACGAGAGACCAGGATAGCCTGTCCAGGGGTTGGTCCCAGGCAAGTCAACAGGAGACCAAGGTTGTAGCTACAAGTTAGCCATCAGGGCTCGTCACTTCCTGGGACCAGCTATATGGTAGGGTTGGAATTGGGCCTGGGGGTTCAGCTGCCCACTACTGGACAGCTGGAGACTGTGAGCTAGACTCTGGCAAAGGACCCTGGTGTACTATGTGAGGAATGTGGCTTTTTCTTGAGGATCAGCTACATTCTACAGGGAGCAGGTGGACCAGTAAGAGATGAGACCTATGGGAAGGGAATCCAGGGGTGGATAGAGTCAGTTGTTCATTGATCCTTCCATTCATTCAGCAAGTGACTTGAATGCCTGCATCATAACTTATAGCAGATTGAATGAGTGTTGGCTGTGGACCAGTCTGCCAGTGTTGGGGGCTGAACTTTGCAGCTTAAAGCGGACTGACCTTAGCCAGCCAACTTCCCTATTCTGTGTCTCAGTGTCCTCACTGAAATGGAATGACACTGGTGTCCTGGGCTGCTATAGGAATTACAGGAGCTCATTCTTATAAAGAGTTTAGAACAGAGCCCAGTACCCTATAAGTGTCATGGAATAGTAGCTTCTGTTAGCATCAGTAGGGACCAAGATGCTAAGGAGGCAGTGCTGAGCCAGAATGGACCTGGACCCTCTCCTCTCGAATCTCATAGTCTAGCAGAGTTGATCGTAACCATCCAATTGTGCAATATAAAATTGCATCTTTGGGAAGTGTGAGACTAAAAAGGGTGTACAAAGGGAGACGTCGGCTGAGTCAGGTAGGACAGAGAGGGCCTCCTGAGAAACTAATACTCACAATAAGGGAAGGGGCATACCCACAGCAAAGCAGCATGTGCGAAGGCCCTGTGGTAGGAGGATAGGGCATGTCTGGACAACTGAAAGAAGGCCCTGTGGCTGGATGGAGCTTAGAGACATAAGACTGGGAAGGAAGGAAAGAACCAGATGGTTCAGAACCATGGAGGTCTATTTTAAGGGTTTAGTCCTTTCTACTAAGGGCAATAGAAAGCCCTTAAAATGTCAGGCTAAGAAAGGAAGGAGGTGACACAATCTAATTTGCATTCTGACAAGATGGCCCCAGCTGCTATATGGGAACTTGATTGCAAAAGAGCAAGTGTGGGCAGGGAGGCCCTTAGGACTGTGCAGCCCAGGCAAGAGGTGAAGGTTACAGTGTCCAGGATGTAAACAGGATGATGTCCAAAGTAAGAGGAAGCCTAGGACAGTACCTTAGGAGAGAAATTGGTTTGTAGTGTCCCTGGAGAAAGGGA